AAGGGCGACTTACCTCTCGATATCAAGTGGCATTTTCATGGCTTCGACAACTCCTCATCACATCTGGGAATAATGACAACTAAAATGACGTCACGCACATCATTCCTATCTATCGCCGCCGCGGCCGCGAGCCACAGCGGCAACTATACCTGCGTAGCTGCTAATAGCGCCGGCGCAACTAATCATTCCACTGTCCTTAACGTTCATGGTCAGTTGTGTTCTCATTCTACGTAAAGCGTTTGACACTTTGCTCAGCCTGCTGCGAATACTATGTTAATTGAATTAGCATGAATTCCATTAACATATTCAAACAGCAATCCTTTTTCGTTTCTGTTTTGTTTAAATTTAAGTTACTCCTCTCACATTTCTTCATTTGTTTGTTAACACAGTAAAACCGAACATTTTGCCCTTTGACGTCGATCAAGCATTATTTTCCGGAGAATCGGTACAAATGATGTGTCATATATCAAAAGGCGATACACCTCTGGACGTACATTGGGAGTTTAACGGGCAAAGATTATCTCGGGAACTAGGAACTTTTACAAGTGTTGGGGAACGATCATCTGTGCTGGTGCTACCGTCCGTGGTCGGCGCTCATAGCGGCAACTACACCTGCATTGCAAAAAACCGCGCGGGGATCGCCTCTTACACCACCATTCTCAAAGTTATTGGTATTTAACAAAATAGAACAGTTTAAGAGCGATTAGTTTTAGCTGCCCTTTTGCACCTTCCAACCTTAAACATTTTTTTTTGTTTTCTTTAAATTTAAGTGGTTCCGTACATAAACCCATTCGAAGTCGAAGAGTCTATTTTCGCCGGTGAATCGATACATCTCACATGTCATGTATCGAAAGGTGACCGTCCGCTTCAAATTTCGTGGAGTTTCCAAGCACAGGAAATACCGTATCATAATAATATGGGAATAACTACGACCAAGTTAGGAGAGAAAGCATCAGTGCTTAGTGTGCCGACGGCGATGGGGCACCACAGTGGCAACTACACGTGCACGGCGAGCAACCGCGCCGGCCGCGCGCACCACACGGTGCTCGTCAACATCCATGGTTCGACGTCGCTGTCTTCTTACGTTTGACTTACATTTTTGTGTAGTAACTACTATGAATGTCATAGACATTGCACGATTAGATTTAATCTTAGATTCTCTTTTTCTTATTTGATCAGTTCCTCCCCATATAATGCCATTCGAGATCGAGGAGTCCGTGTTTTATGGTGAATCGGTGCAAATGACTTGCCATGTCAGCAAAGGAGACCGACCGCTTGCGATAACGTGGACATTTGAAGGTCAAGATCTCTCTACTCATGCCGGTATCAAGACTATGAAGATGGCAGAACAAACTTCCTTCTTATCTATAGACTCTATAACGGGGGCTCACAGTGGCAATTATACATGCATTGCTAGAAATAGAGCGGGCGAAGACAGATTTTCCACTGCTCTGCGTGTTAACGGTATCTTTAGTTAGACATTCCAGCATGAACCACAATATATTATTCATTACTAACATTTACAAATTTTCTTTGCTCAGTCGTTCCCCACATCAAACCATTTGAGTTGGACGAGGCTGTATTCGCTGGAGAATCTGTTCACCTCGATTGCCACGTATCCAAAGGCGATCTCCCTTTGAATATTATGTGGAGCTTCCAGGGCAGACCTGTTAATCGTAGATCGGATTTGAAGACTATGACGCTTAGTGCTAGAGTTTCCGTGCTAGATATACCGAGCGCTATGGACACCCACAGCGGCAACTATACTTGTACGGCGACCAATAAAGCGGGCAGTGCCAACCACACAGCCGTTCTTAACGTAATCGGTACGACCCTCGCTGATGCCCGTGATGCTTACTTTTTGTTCAGTTCCTCCTGTCGTCCAACCCTTCTCCTTCGGGGAGGTCATGAATTCCGGTCAAGTCGTGACGGCGCCGTGTTCGGTTATCGAGGGCGACCACCCGCTTCGATTGCGATGGCTCTTTGACAATGAAACTATCAAACCGAGGTCCGGGATCACCGTCTTTAACATAGGAGAAAAAAGCGCCATTCTCAGCATCAATTCCGTAACGCACGAGCACGCCGGGAACTACACTTGTGTCGCTGAGAATGAAGCGGGATTTCATTCCCACACATCCACATTGATAATTAACGGTGCATAAAATCGCGGTATTTTCTATCTGAATTTCTTTTCAATTGTAGTAAAGTCTTGTTTTGTACTTTTTCTTTATTTTACATTTTATTAAACGTCCATGTAACTTAATTCCAGTCCCCCCTAACATTTTGCCGTTCACTTTCGGCGAAAAGCCCGCCAATGTCGGTGAATATTTGCAAGCTGCGTGCACTATAAACTTTGGAGATCTTCCTCTTACCATCACGTGGATATTTAACGGACAAGCAATATCGTTAAGAAACAATGACTACACAATTACCAACTCTAAGAGAAGTAGCTTACTGATAGTCGAGTCCGTTGACGCTAAACATGCCGGTTCCTATACATGCATCGGCGAAAATCGCGCGGGACGAACTACTTATTCAGCCGACCTAATCGTATACGGTTAGTTTTAAAGATAATAGTAGTCGCCTGTTTTTTGTCTTTTAGATACATTTTAGTTTTTCCCAAGAGATCACTTTCTGAATTCGTCGAGAATCGGCGATTTAACGGTAGATAATAATAGACTAAAGCAAATTTTCACTAGACCTTTGGATTTAAGCAGAGCTTATATACGAGGAGAATGATTAGATTTCTTCCAGAATTAGTTATTTTAGCATTACATAATATTATATGAAATTATAATTTGTTTTATTTATATTTTTGAAGATTAAATTATTTGTGATATTTATTGCCTCCTTTTGTTCCGATTTTTCTGGGGACTCTCAATGAATAGCGTTAAATTTTTTGTCCTAGTTCCACCATTGATAGTGCCATTCAGTTTTGGAGAAGTACCATCCAACCCCGGCGATACTGTGGTTGTGAACTGCGTCGCCACCAAAGGAGATCTGCCGTTAGAGATATCGTGGACATTTAGCAGCGAAACCATAGACTCGAGTCTGCACAACGGCATCACGACAACGGCGCTTGGCCCACGTGCCTCAGTCCTCACAATCAACTCTGTGACGGCCAACCACCAGGGAAACTACACGTGTATTGTGCAGAATGCCGCGGGGCGCGCCGAGTATGCGGCTACGCTCGTCGTCAATGGCACGTTCAATGAATGCATTGGAAGCGAATGAATGATAACGGGGACTAACATCACCAAATGCACAACAAAAGGATTCGATCCGTTCAACCTCACCGCTCTTTTCTTCATGTATCCACACTAGATGCTAACAAACTTAACAAAATTGACTTAACATGAACATATTTGATTATTTCCAGTACTGCCTCGCATAGTTCCATTTTCATTCGAGACCCCATTGTACGCGGGGCAAGCGAGTCAGGTCACTTGTTTAGTTTCCGAGGGCGATCTCCCTCTCGATATCAAATGGTACTTTGAGGGACGTCCCCTGAAAGAGAAAGCCGATGTGGCAGCAACTAAGATAGCGCAAAGGGCTTCATTGCTCCTCATCGACCCCGCCGGCTGGTCGCACAGCGGCTCTTATATGTGCCTAGCGCGCAATGCCGCCGGCTCCTCCAACTATTCCGCTACATTAGAAGTACACGGTATACATCTCTGCGTACCCCTTGCTCCTAGCACGGAAAGCTTTGCATAGTTATCATATTGTGTGCTTCAGTCGCGAAAAATATCTCCTCTCGATGAAAATTAATTTTGCTCAAAATGTAAAGATATACCAAATTCGGTTCTACTGGTGATAAACATATCTGATAGATAGTCGGAAAAAGCGTGATGACTAAAAGAGTAAATATGCGACAATGCGAAATGCAGGAACCGGCTGCGGCTATCATCGACGAAACCATTTCTTCCTTTCCCAGCATTTTGCAATTCCACGCCTAACCATTTCCTAGGTTCCCGTCTATTAATTTATTTTCTTTCTGTTACGCATCTTATGCTTTTGGGTTTTGCATGTTGCTTGCTAACTTATCTGATGAAATGATAATTTTAAAAAATTAATTGTAATTAATCCTGTAGGACAAATGCTGTAATTATGACTTCATCAGTTTGTCGGTTTATTGGTATTGTAATTTATTTGCATTTTCGCTTTCTTTGGTTTTTACGTCCCATTACTTTGTTTGGTTTTTGTTTGCTTGAATCATTTAATTTGCTATAAACACTGTTACAAAAGCTTCTATAGCGACGGCTTTAGCAACATTGGGCATACTATGTGCATTTGTACATGCCAGTAGAAGTCACGTATCCCACCCGTGAGTTATGCAACTGTTCAAACATTATTAAAATATGTCTCAAAAATGTTTTGACACCATGTTTTATGTGAATGTTTCAGCAATTGAAACTCACGATAATGCTATGTACGTTAAAGGAGCTTTTTTATAAACTGAACTAGAATTTGAATGCAATGTCGACTCACAAAATCACTTTTTGTATAATTCAAGCACAATGTAAGCATAATTTCACTTTAGTCCCAGTTTAAATTTAGTATCTTCTAAATTTTTTTAACAAAAATAATGTTCTAGACGAGGCATTTCCGATTCTAGTTCGCTGTAAATACATTTGAATCTTGTCCCCCTTTTAAAATTTTACTGAAAAGAATAAATAGTAAATTCTGTAGTGACAAGCGCCATTGCAAGTAATATTTATGTAATATGATAAATATTAAGTAAAATTTCTTACGTTATTGAAGCTTAAACAGGATGGTCTTTAAGATTAGTGTTAAAAAATGCAAAAATTGAATATTAAATCGAAAAAAATCAGATTAATGTCGCTTGTCACAGTACAAAAAAGACATTGCAAATTTTTTAATTATTAAAAAACCATTTGAAATAAATACTCATTTCTAAAGTTACTAATTCAAGTCCACAATAAATTTTTTTTTAATTTGTAAACCATCTATAAGTTTCTAACGATATTGGTAAATTTTAGTTCCCCCTCGTTGGATTCTTGAGCCCACTGACAAAGCTTTCGCTCAAGGCTCTGATGCTAAAGTCGAATGTAAAGCCGATGGCTTCCCCAAGCCCCAGGTGACATGGAAGAGGGCAGAAGGTATGAATTAAACAAAACACGTTTCAAATCAATAATTTTGTGTAATCGACCACTGACTAAATTAAGAAAAATGCATTTTTAGGGGATACGCCTGGCGATTACAAAGACCTGAAACCTAACAACCCCAATGTTAAGGTAGAGGATGGAACATTGACCATTAACAATATTCAAAAGACCAACGAAGGATACTATCTCTGTGAAGCCGTAAATGGAATTGGATCCGGTCTTTCCGCTGTTATTTTGATTAGTGTACAGGGTAAATATACTGTAAATTTTATATAACTAACAAAGTATAACGTAAAAATAAATTCTTGTAACACTAAGTTTATAAATTTTTAGCACCTCCTCAATTCGAAATTAAAATGAGAAACCAGACTGCGCGCCGAAGCGAACCAGCCGTTCTGCAATGCCAAGCTAAAGGTGAAAAGGTAAATATAAAATTTTATTAATTAAATAATTTTAAATAATAATCCTGTATTGTTATTATTATTATACGTGTTTCCTACTTTTTAGCCCATTGGAATCATCTGGAACATGAACAACAAACGCCTGGAACCCAAATCCGACCCCCGCTATACAATCCGCGAAGAGATCCTGCCCGGAGGAGTAGTCTCTGATCTGAGCATCCGACGCACTGAACGATCTGACAGCGCCCTCTTTACTTGCGTAGCAACCAATGCCTTTGGATCCGATGACACCAGCATTAATATGATTATCCAAGGTAATTGATGTCTAGATTTTTTATTGCTGACCAGCCTACCAATTCAAAGTGTTTTCATTGGTCAGTTTTTGTGGATGAATTTTAGAAACATTATTAGACTCATTGGTAGAAAACATGGTTTAAATTATTTTTTATCGGTTACAGAGGTACCTGAAGCTCCCTATGGCCTGAAAGTACTCGACAAATCCGGTAGAACCGTCCAACTGTCTTGGGCCGCACCTTACGATGGCAACTCTCCTATCAAGAAGTTCCTCATTGAATACAAACGGGCTAAGGGCAACTGGGAAAAGGATATCGACAGGTATTTACACAACAAAATATCTACTACAGACTCTACCTCTATTTAGTTTCATAGTTGAAGCGAAAATATTATAATTTAATGCACATTTTCAAATAATAATTAATTCTCCAGAGTACTCGTCCCCGGCGACGCGACCGAAGCTGGTGTTTTCAGCCTCCGCCCCGCTACCGCTTATCACATTAGGATCGTAGCTGAAAACGAGTTGGGAACCTCCGAGC